AGAACTTATGTTATATTCTCTTTCAATTTTTATTTGTCTGCGATCGTGCTGAATTTTTGTGTAATACTGAGATATTATCACCGCGGATTTACTAACACACAACAAGGGAAAGGGTAAGACAAGAGTAAAATCTCAAAACACTAATTTGGGCTACTTATATTAATTTTTAATTATTGATCTTTCATTTAATTTTTAAGAGCTGAAATAACCTCCAAAATCAAGAGATATTACACGCACCTACTTTCTCTTATTGGGAAGCACAATTTAGCTTAAGCATGTAATATTAGAAATTATTACATTCTTCAACTAACATTTCAAATTTTTTAAAATCGCACTCCATTTATTTTCGAAAAATTTTCAAATTAAAAATCATATAAATTTTTGCATTGATAATTAATTTGATGAATTTATTACATATCACAACTTGAATTCATTTATCAAAAAGTTGTCATTTATTTAATTAATATATTTAAAATAACAATCCTTGATACACCACCAACAAATTTTCATCATCCGACACGAATTTCGAAGCATGACACGAATCTAAAGACAATATTTTAAGCAATAATAATTCAAATCTTGATAAAAAGTAATCTAGAGCTCTGATTTCAACAAACTTATAGTCAAACTGACCGGCTTGATGAGACAGACCTAATGATATGAAAACTAGCTCAATCCGAGTCAAATCTAACACAGATCAAGTCATTGAACCACAATTAGATGATTTTCGGACACATTTGAAAGATCAAATGGTAGTCGAATATGATAAGTTTATATTCGAATCGAGCGGCTCGACAAAATGAATCCAACGAACCCAAGATCACTCAATTCTGATATCATTAAGACACTCAAATGTCCATTAAGCATTGTTTGATTGAAAGAAGCTCTCCGGACCGTCCAATAAAAATGATTCATATTCATGGATTAATAACACCCATAACACTATAAATAGAGCCCCACACTTCATATGAGGGGGAGCTGGAAGCTTCAGAGAAAACTATAAGCTCTAAGAAAGATATGAAGTCCAGCACTATCCCGACCGTCGTCGACCACCGTCGGATCGTCGTCCACACTCGTCGATCGCTGTCATCCACTATCGACTGTCACTATCGATCATCACCAATCATCATCGATCACCATTAATCAGACACTGTCAGTCATCTTCGTCAGACATGAGCTCATCACTACGATCCATGTGTCAACAACGACCTACGTGGTTTACAGCTCGAGCAGCTCCCGACTCCGGCCCCGACGACCTACGGACGTCATTCATACTCGCCACTGCGGTCTATGTAGTCCACAACTCCCGTAACTCATTACTACGGTTTCTTTGGCCAATCAACACTTCAGGAGCATCCACTTCTGGAGTAGCCATCTACAACACTCACGATGGATTACTACATCCACAACAATCAACAATGACATTTGCAACCCGCAGTCACCAAGAACTGCATGTAAATTACAGCTATGCAACTTTTTTTAATTTCATATTCCCTAATTTAGGGGAAGATTGGACCTGTGTACTCATCATTCATAGTGAGTTATTTCAACTGGGCTAGGCCCCGTGGTTTTCCGTGAGGTGTCTCCTCCTGCTTACTTCTCTTCTGTTATCTGTGTGTGTTGAATTCTCGTGCAATGCTAAGACGATAATCCATTACTCTACCGCCATAAATTTTCTGGCACACATCAATCCTAATTAATATATAATAATTTTATTATTAATTTTAAAATTAGACTTTATTTTTTCATACCCTATAGGCGAACACGGACCGCTGATCTGCTTGAAGGAAAGTACACGCAGAAATTATAGTCATGAAATCTTCCAGTCAGCTGAAGGCTGCTAAATGGAAGACAATATTTAGCCATAATTACATTCATCGCTTTCATTTTATCTACTAATTTAATAATTTATGCATTTATCTTCAACTTTATTGGCTATACTTACACAATGCAAGAAAAAAAAAGTTTTGTAAATATACAAAAAAAATTCTAATGATACATTTTTGTGTTTTGTCTCGAGCTTGACTCGATAAGTGGCTCGTGAACAGAGCTAGACTAGCTAACAAGCCAAGCTCAAGTCAACCCCGACTCGATTCATTAGCTCTTAAGCCGGCTTGTTTAAAAAATTTTAATATTAAATATACTCAAAATATATTAAATTTCATGACTTTATCTTTAAGTTATCAAAAATATTAAAAAAATAATGTTTGTATATTAAGTAATTTTTTTATTATTTATCTTTTAATTATTCATTTTATTTGTCATCTTATCATAAAAGTAATTTAAATTAATATCATTTTATCTCTTTTATATTAAATAAACTTGCTCAGGAGTCAACTTGAATTTGTAGACTTAAGCTTGAGCTTAAGTTCGACCTAGATAATATTAATCAAACTCAAACTGAGATTGACTTGAGCTCGACTCGAGTCATTTACACGCCTAGTTGAGCTCAGCATCGAGCTTTCGAGCCAAACCTGAGCCGACATAACTACCATGAGTGGAATTCAAGTTCAAGTTATGAGCCCGAGTTGAGCTCGCCAATAAACTACAACTAGAGTTGAGTCTATCTCGAACTCTAAACCCTACTCATTTATAACCCTATGAATGGTCAATGAAACTCCTTGTTCCCTAACTCGAATTTCAAAGCTTAGAGTGGATTTATCCGATCACACCGATCCGATACGGCTAAAGCCCTTTTTCGAAAATAACGTTCGGCCCAAAATGGCGGGACCGTTTTATAAAAAAAAGGCACAGATAGTACATAAATTGAAATAACGAAAAGTGAAGGGTCAAAAAGCGAAAGTCTCGCACCCTTTTTCCTCTCTGGCGCAAGAGCGGTCGTACGGCGGCCTGCTCGCATGAAAAGTCTGGCAAAGAGGGCACTCATAGTCATACCAAGCCACTTTTCAGTCCGCCCCTTCCATTCGAATTTTTGAAGTTCCTTCTGCCCGCATAAAGCGAATATAATTTTGTTTGAAAATGCAAAATGTTATTGCACTGACATGCTACTATTTTTGATTTCCAACCCTGATATAAATAATAAATTTAAATGATTATATTAATGAGATTAATGAGATTAATGTGTAAATATTACATTGAATAGAATATGAATAAATAAGAACTTTTAAAATTTTAAAATAAATAAATAAATAAATAATTTGAAAAAAAAATTGGTTAATGATCATGATCAAATTTTTATGAGGATATATATGAAATTTGTTAAATTTAGTTTGAGAGATATATAAGTTAAATGTGATTGATTGTCTTTACATTTCACATACTTTAAAATAATTTTACTTATTTTAATTTTTAAGGTGCAAAGATTTTAAAATGAATAAAATTAATAATGATTGTCTTCTTCCTCCATTTCACACTTTAAATTTTGAAGTGAAACTCATGACAATATTGCTGTTGAATTCATGAAGCATCATACTATCTTTTTCTATACGAAATAAAATAATTATTTTTTTATAAAAATAAATAAAATGCTATCCTCGTACAATTTCCCTTTATGCAAGTAGGGCTATCATCAAGTCGATTTCAAGCAAAGCTAAGGCTGTCTCGAAATCAACTCAAATGAATTGAGTTTAGTTTGAAATCGTTCTATGGCTATCAATGTTCTATTTCAAGCCAGTTCTCAAGCTAATTCTACTTTGAAATTGAAATGTGCTAACTCAAATTTGGGCTACTTATATCTGTTCCAGCTCGAAATTGGCTCAAATCAGCTCGAAATCAAAACAAAATAACTCAAATTGAGCTATTTGGATCCATTTTATATTTAATTTTATTTATCATATATATAAATATATAAATATATATATATATATATATATATTAGAAATTAAGAAAGAAACAAACATATCCCACTGCGCTGCGCATTCCATTCAGTAACCGCCACCAATCTTCCAAACAGCTTCTTCTCCTCCTCCCTCTGAATTCTACTTCAAAAAAGCTCTGCTTCAACACTCATTAAAAAGCGGCGAAGAAGATGAAATGGGGAAAGAAAACCAGAGCCGAGGACGAAAAGAAAACGAGGAAATCCTCTTTCTCTTCCACTTCCTCTTCCTCATCTTCATTTCACCTCTCCAATTTCTTCCCCTTCTCATGGTATTCTCTCCTGAAGCGACAGAAACATGACAGAACAAACCCCAAACAATCTCCTCCCACCTCCTCCGCTCATCTCTGTTTCACCACCCAACTCCTCCACCCCCCAGCCGGTGAAGCCCCTCGCCGGCGCTCAACTGGAGAAGAAGACCACCGCCGGGACAAAACAGACATCTCCCGCTCCTCCCGCCACTATTCTTTCAGCGAGTTCGACCTTGAACTCCGGCCAATCTCCAGTTTCCGGCAATGCGACGACAGTCCTCCGCCGCCGACGCCGATGAAGCGTGCGGCGGACCGACGGCGGCGGCAGAGAATACGCCCAAAGGTGAAAGTTTGCTCGCCCAAGGTGGCGCGTAGGATGCTGGAAGAACAAGAAAGAAAAGAAAGGAGGAATCTTGAGAGCTTTGCGGTGGTGAAGAGCTCGAGCGATCCGCAGAGGGATTTCAGAGATTCAATGGTGGAGATGATAATCGAGAAGGGGATGACACGGCCGGAGGAGATGGAGAGATTGCTGGCTTGTTATATTAGCCTGAACGCCGATGAGCATCATGATGCCATCATCGGAGCTTTCCGGCAAGTCTGCTTCGAATTTGACGCACGGCGGTTCGCCGGCGAATGCCATTGCTGCCATTGTTGTGATTGTTTTTGAAGGAGGGAGGTGATGAATGTAATGTATTTTGTCTTTTGCATTTATTTCATGCGATCCAAAAGTGTGATGAATTCCTAATTTCTGCATCGCCACAGTTTGGGTGGAATTCTATGGTGATTTCTTCTGGAATTTCTTACAACAAACTGTCCTCTGCATTCATTCCTGACTTAAAATTGGGTTGTTTGAACAAATTAGGAGTCATATAGAAATCAAATGTGAACATTTAAAAATTTGAGCAAGTCAAATATGAACACCTATGTGAAAGCATGGCTCAAGCTGGAACTCAACATGATTATCCTATGTTTCACCAACCAAGTCCAATACATGACATATCCTACTAGGCTTGCCTTGTACAACCCTAAGCTCGAGCCAAAAATCCAATTATCAAGAGAGTTCGCTAGAGCAGACATCGATGGCTAAAGAAAAGTGCCACAATAGCTCATCCGAGAAGGCATGAATGTGTCCATCTAGGTGGCGAGCGAGCTATGAGTTGTAACTAGGTAAGCACGGACTTGAGCTCATTTAATAAACAACATTGAGTTTGAGCTTGAGCTTTAGCTTGTGGCACAGTAAGCATGCTGATGAGTTGTACCTAGATAAGCCAAGGACTTGAGCTCGTTTAATAAACAATATTGAGTTTGAGCTTGATCTAGAGCTCGTGGTTCAATAAGCGAGCTGATGAGTTTTACCAAGATAAATATAGACTTGAGCTCATTTTATAAACAACATTGTGTTTGCGCTCAATGTCGAGTTCGAGCTCATGACTCAATAAAATTGACTTGCGACTCATTGACAAGAGCCAGCTCGGCTCACTTAGAGGGTAACTTCTAATCTAGTGTTATTAATGCTAATCTTAAGAAGAAACAAAAGGTAGAAAATTGATTTTTAAAATTTTTCAAAAAACAATTGGTCCTCCATTAAAAATCGCCACGTGTTTGAAGCCATTTTGGGAACAAGGTGTCATGAGGTGGTTCTGCATGCAGGAGTTGATGAACATGGAATGATAATGCCGCCATTGCCGGCTTCGATAATTAGTTTTCGGAAGATTTGTATACATACCCCTCAGTTCTTATATATTTACATTTCTAACACCTAAACTTTATTATTTATATATTTGCCCCTTTACCATATAAGAAAAGGTGTGAGTGGCATTGTTGATGTGATATGCTTACAGGGGTAAACTAGATTTGTTTATATTTCAAGCTTAGAAAGTGTGTTCGTGTTTGACTCGTTTGTTTAACGAGCTGAACACGAGCTGTTCGCGAACAAAGAGTCGTTTTGATAATCATAATCACACAATCATAAGATATTCAAGGCTGGGGCAATATTTAAAAATTATTGTTTATATTAAAATATAATTTGAATAACTAAAAAATTTTTTTCGTGTTCGACTGGCTGTTCAGCTGGTGTGCTTAGCCAGCCGAACACGAGCAAAGAGTCTTTTTGACAACCTTAAGCATGTAGCCATAAGATGTTAAGGATGGGAGCAACATTTAAAAATTATTATTTATATTAAAACATCATTTGAATCTAATTTAATATTTTTTATTCATTTTTCTTAATTAAAACTTCTAATTGATTATAAATCTTTGTAGTATTGTAGTCAATTATAATATATATTTAAATGACTATAAGACTACAAAGATTTATAATCAATTAAAAGTTTTAATTAAGAAAAATGAATAAAAAATATTAAATTAGATTCAAATAATATTTTAATATACATAATAATTTTTAAATGTTGCCCCCAACCCTTAACATCTTATGGCTATAATTGATGAGTAGTATTTCGAGTCAAAACGAGCCGATCACGAACGAACAAATCTTGGTTCATGTTGGGATCGTTAAGTTAGCGAACGAGCTTAACACGAGCCTCTTAACAAGTCAAAACGCTTTTTGACAACCCTAGATATACCCGATTTGGGTGGTACATATGTAAGAAACGTAACATATTGTGGATATATATGTAAATACATAAGAATTGAGTGGTATGTTTGCAAATCTCGATCAAGAACAAACAAATCTTGGTTCGTGTTTGGATCGTTAAGTTAGCGAACAAGCTGAACACGAGCTTCTTAACAAGTCAAAACGCTTTTTGACAATCCTAGATATACCCGATTTGGGTGGTACATATGTAAGAAACGTAAAATATTGTGGATATATATGTAAATACATAAGAATTGAGTGGTATGTATGCAAATCCCCCTACATTTTAAATAAATTCATATAAAAATAAGATCATATTCTATGTTTGATAAGAACATATTTCATTAAGTTAATTCGATTCATTAAAAAAAAAATTAGAACTTTTATTAAAGTTCTTCGCGCGGGCTGCGCACCCAATAGAGAAATGCAGAGAACTTGCCGCGACGGCAATCTTGCCGGCGCGCGGCACGCTTCGGCCCCACGCTCTTGTTTACTCTCTTGTCCGTCTCCAGTTTCTCCTATTCCCATTTGACCACCAACTGTTCGACAAAATGCCTCAAAGTCGCGACAGGGAAAGCCAAGATCCCTTGCGTGTGTGTATACATAGCTAACCCCATCAACTCTCAACTCCCCTGCTCCTTCAATCCCTCCCGCAACTCTTCCCCTCAGCTTCATGGCGTCTCGGAGAAACTGTAACAGATTTTCTCCGTTCTTGCTTCTTGCTCTGCTCGTTCTTCTCTCGCAGACGGCCGTTAGTGCTCGGAAACTGCTTCGCTCGCCGGAGAGAGAGATGGTGGTGGCAGTGAAGAGTCAGGAAGCCGTAGAATCAGGTTCCCCGGCGTCTCCAACGGTCGCCGGCGATCAGCTGATGAGCTCTGTTCCGAGTCCGGGAGTCGGACATTAGATTCGATTTTGGTTCGAGTTCCGAGCTCCTTTTCTTTTTTTAATAAGATTGATTTGATTAAGCTGTATAAAAGAGTAATTTTTGTAGAA